CAATTACACAAGTCTTTTCACGCGTTTTTCGTTGGTAGATGGCACACCTTCCCCCCACTCAAAACGCGATGTCCTCGTCGCACGACTGGTTCTCTCTTGGAGGTACGCAGACCTTTGGCCCGCCGACCGCAGTCAAGGACACAAGCCCATTCGCTTCACAAGGGAAGAGTGATCAGTTCCTCCCCAGCGGGTGGCGCCTCATCCTCCTACTCGATCCGACCTTTTACTATTACGTGGCGAGCACCAATACTGAGGTTCCTCCTCATATCCGGCAGGCAGTTCCAGTCCGAGCCTTCCAGGGCCTCGTTCTACGTAAGAGATTCCCTCGCGAATCGTTTCTCCCGAGTGGTAATTTTTTGGATCCGGCCTCTTCCTTTCAAGAGAGTTGGGGCTCTCTATTAGTTCGCGAGTGCAGTTACGAAGACCTCGCAATTAATCCCGAAACGGTTGTAATGTTCCCGCGAGGCAGTGTCAATGCCTCGTGGTGGTGGCGGACTCCACCCGGTTCCTCGCCCGACCCCTCCCCTTGGACAGTGCCGCCCAACTTAGTGCGGGCAACCGAGGTTCGACCCAAGCAGCCATGCCACCCCCCTATGGTATGGCGTGTGGTTGGAGAGAAGCAAAGGAGGCCAGAATAAGAATGGCTTTCTCGCCCATTTGGTTCTCTCACCCTTTGACGTTTAGGCTTTCAGCATGAGACGCAATTTGAACTCCCCGACTAGAGCTCATTATCGGGGTTAGTTCCGAACAGCCCGCACCGATCCAAAGGATAGGTGCCTTGGTCCTTTAACCCTCATCCCCTTGTAAGAGGAACAGGTCGCGCTGAGACTTTTCCCTTTAAGAGGCAGAGGTCTTGAGGTCGCGGGGCAAGCACCGGTACCCCCCTCTTGCTGAGGTCAAGGACTAGAAAAAGAGAAATCCATTTCAATGCAATTTCGAAGTCCATTTCAAGTTGCCTAGGGTCCCCTGTTTGTGCAATGCAATTTCCAATGCCCATTCCAATTCCAAGGCTCAATCCAATTCCAATGCCCAATCCAATTCCAAGGCTCAATCCAACATCTCTTCCAATGCTGAGTCCAATATCTTCTCCAAAGCTGAGTCCAATATCTTTTCCAAAGCTGAGTCCAATATCTTTTCCAAAGCCGAGTCCAATATCTTTTCCACAGCTTCGCTCTTCTTAATCTCAACCATCTCGAAAAACCATGCAAGGGGACCCCAGTGCCAATTCCAAAGAATGACCCTTGTCAGGGGCCATTCCGAACAACCTGGTTAGGGTCATTCTTATCCATTTCAATGGGACAGCCTGGTTAGGGCCATCCTTATCCATTTCCATTGGACAGCCTGGTTAGGGCCATCCTTATCCATTTCCATTGGACAGCCTGGTTAGGGCCATCCTTATCCATTTCCATTGGACAACCTGGTTAGGGTCGCCCTTATCCATTCCAATGTTAGCGCCCGAGGGGGTGGGCCTCGAGGACATGAATCCTATCTCTGTCTCGGAGGTTAGAAGGTGGCCATCTCTTTAATGTTTTATGCGTGCGCTTTTCATGCATACATACACCCGACTTAGCGTCTAATGCACAAGTTAAGGCTCGCAACCCCAAGCAGCACTTGCCCGCCCGACCGTTCAACTCATTGCGGAAGGTGCTTGCTCAATCAATATTTCCTCTCTCTTTCCGACCTCTCATGCCCCTCATTGCTTGTGAAACTGTTTTTTTTGACCGGTTGGATTAGGCTCCTAGGGAAGAGGACTCTTCATGCCTCTTTACCCATAGGTCCCCTAACCTCTTCACAAAGACTCGTAACATGACTCATTCATCCAAGGGTACGCATTTCACAAAACTCTTTTGCCATAGACTTTGTTCAATCTCGACAATTCCCATGCTCTTTCCCTTTCCCAAAACAAAGTCGATCATTCCCAGTTCCCATCTCATTATCATTGATCGTCATGTTTTCCAAAGGAGTGAGTACTTATGCAAAGTAGCACTAGCTACCCGATCCCTGTTTACTTCCCCACTTCATCCTTCTAAGTCTTTTGAGGTCGTGATTAAGTCGATCCTGGATCTCGTCTGGTTCTCCGTGCCAGTCTTCCGTAGGCAGGAGTAAACTTTTGTATCTGGGCTTAGCCTCCGGATGGTGTTGAATACTTTTAGTGATACGCAATTCGCTCATCTTCCTCCACATACCACAGAGCAAGGGAGGGTGTTCGCCATCTATCCATCCACCGGTCAAGAGCTGCGTTGCAGTTCCTTGCTATAATATCCGGGACCCCATCCTTTCACTTACAGTATTGGGCGCATAGATACACAATATACATACAATTTCAGGTTCCAACGTGACCAGGATTGACACCCATTGACCTCCCTCCTGGTCAACCACCCAGTGCACCAGATCTGCCCGGGACTCAGGGGGAATCCAGATGGCCACCCCTGCACTCCCCGGTTTTGGGGCGTGGGCCCTGACGGTCTTGTATGGCCAGACCATTTTGTGTATGCCGTTGTGCTCTCGGGTGTCCATCAGGTGCGATTCCTGTACACACACTATATCCGGCCAGTTTCTTTCCCCCACCCCTCTCATTAAATCCCAAATTGCGTTTTGTTTGTCAGGTTTGCACGAAGCCAGGCCATTCACATTTAGTGACCGCAAGTCCAGGTCAGCTGCTCTTTAGCATAGATTCCAAATGCGGTATTTCCCGTATACTGCTTTAACCGGGTCATCCACTAATCTTGCAGTCATATTATGGTCACACATGGATCCACGACAGTTGTTCCCATTCCCAATCTGCAGCTCCTGACCTCCTGAGAAAAGTGCATAAACTACTCTGAACACCGTGCTCAGTCCAGGTGTCACTGTGCCKGATCCTGACCGTTTGCAGGTTGAGCAGTTGGATGTGGGTATGCCATCTTAGACTATTTTCTTTGGTTGGGTCGAAACATATGTATACATCTCTGTGCGCAATCTTGTTGGGGCTTGTTGTAATCAAAGTCGTAGCCTGTGGCCCTRGTGGTAAGGTTTTTGCAATGTGGGATTCCAGYTGCATTTGCAGAAGTCCTACCGCTGCCTCGGACGAGCTGTTTGGTKGACTTGTCCAAAACGACRACCAACCTCGTAACGTGACACCCCCTTGTCTGCCATTCTTTGCCGGTGATAGACCCACTTCCCATTTCCCATCTTTCTTCTAAACGGGGATGAGTAGCATGGTCGCTTGCGACAGGGAGCCAGTATCACAACCCATCTCGACTAGCTGCCTCAACTTCCTTCTTTGCACCAGATCCAGTGACGCGTTCTCATCCGGGTCCGGTGGGTCCGGACCCAGCGRCGGGGCTGATTGCTGCATAACCGGGGGGTCTTGGACCTTCCTGGTCCTTTYTTCCTCTGTTGCCTCTTGGGCTCCATCCTGATTTGCTTCCTTCGTTGCTGCAGCATGTGGTGCCTGAAGACGTGTAGACACGATTGTGGCCAATCTGTGTTGCCTCTTCCCTTGTTGCAGGAGTTCTGTTTGCGGTTTTTCAGAAAGAAAAGGAGAAAATTCATGGGCAAGAACGACACCCCAGGCTTGTCTCATTTAGGTCCCCTTTTTCCTTTTTGCCTTTTTTAGACGTAGTCAGCCCTTCATAGCTCTAGTCTCAAGCTCATTGGTCGTCACGTCCTTCTGAAGAAGCAAGTACTTGTGCAAAGTAGCACTAGCTGCCCAGTCCTTAATCATTTTCCGAATCGAAAGTTGTCCCATTGTGGTCTATTCCCAAAAATTCAAATGCAAAGTTCCATATGACAGTTCCGCGTGCCCAGGTACCCATCCTCCCCATTCTCTAGCTATTCCCTGTTATGTCCGTTGTCCCCCCGTTGCTCAGTTGCCCTGTGTTGGCCTGCCTTCCGCGAGCGTCGATTTCCCGTTGGATCCTTCTCTTTGTCGTTTGTAAATCAAGGAGTGCCCCTTCCGTGAAGAAGGTCGTCGGTGTTATGTCCTCTCCCCTGCTTAGCTTTTCTTGTGAGTGGGCCCCTGCTTAGCTTTTCTTGTGCCTTGATAGCCCACTCATACCGCATGATACTCGTCCATTGATTAAACCAATTGCCGCAAGATGGGCCAAACTCCTTTATCCATTTGTCATTTTCATCGCCCGGATCCTCATTCCTTGCCTGTACTTCTTCAGTTGGTCTTGTGACCTCCTCGTCCTCCTCCCCGCTGCTGAGATCTATGATCTCGTTGGGCTCTTCCTCGTCCAACCTCTGCCTATTCCTTGGGCTCACATTCCCCCCCTTACTGCTCTCACTATCAGTTGGGAGATCTATTGGTTCCCCCTCCCTCAGGGGTGAGGGTCCCCTGGTCCCTTGCTTCCTTCCCCCTTTGCCCACAACCAAGTTAAAGTCAAAACCCACATATAACTTACTCTTTCTGGTACTTGATTCCCCAGCCGGTCTTGTCCCTTGTTCCCCGCTGGATCTGTTGATGGCATTGCTGTCATTCTCGTTTTCGAATTCCATTTTTATCTTTTCTTGCTGTGTTCTTCTTCCCTGGTCCTGTTCATACATAACAACCCCTTAGCAACCCTCATACACCTACATTCCCTCCCACTCCCATTGCGAATTTGCAGGCTCGTTCCCCAGAACCCGTGCTTGCCTCCATATGATTGGTAGTCCTCTCAGAGTGGCGGCATAGGCGGCAGTCCCATTATCCCTCCAAAAAACTTTGGTACATTGTCCCGGCACATAGGTACCCCATATGGGCAGTCCCAAAATTGTCCCACAAAACTATGATACATTGTCCCAGGCTCCCAACCCCATACATAGTCCGCCCAAGCAGTCACCCCATGCCCCAAAAAGAAAAGAAGACACAAAAACGAACAACCCCTGCAGTCATGATCAGTTCCACAAAGAAGCGGTACAAAATGATGGCCAGCTGCCTGCCTTTCAGGTTGTCAATTCCCCTGTTTCCTTGTCCTGAGCCTCTTGCAACCATTGCTCCACCAGATCCCGACTCAAAAACCTGACCAGCCTCTGCCCCGGAAATGACCCTTTTATCCCAGTACCGTCAAGAGACAAGTTCAAAAGTGTCTAGTCCCACCCGCTTAGCGATCATGTAGGGGCCTTTGAACCTTCTTCCCAGCTGTCCAGACCTTGTGCTTTTAAGAGCGAAGTTCCTAACTAGTACCATTTCCCCCACTTGGAGCGGCTCCTTCTGGATGTTCTTGACCTGGTCCCACCTTGCTGTGTCCCTCATTCGACTGTCCATCACACACTTAACCACATCCTCCAAGGCTTCCTCATTTCTAACGACCTGTGGGTATCGTGTGGCGATTAGTTCCTCCGTAGACATGTGCGGGTTGTCATCTAGCATGTTCCAGGTAGGAACCAAAGCTTCCACCGGGAAATCAATCTCCCTCCCATACCAAAGTTCTGCCGGAATGCACCCTGTCGTCCTCTTCGGCGTCATATTCTCCGAGAAGACCGCCTGCTTAAGGTACCAAGGCCAGTTTCCCAGGTTATTTGCCGCCAGCTTAGCGATTGTGTTTTTTAAGGTCCGGTGCCCCTTTTCTACAGGTGCATTGGCCTCAGGATGGTATGGCTCGATGATCTTGATAGGTACGCACAACATCTTGAGCCTGCTTAGCACTTCGTGATTTACGAACTCCGTCTCATTATCTGCTATGAACCTGCGCACAAAGGGGTGCCTTAGGTAGAAGTCTTCTATCCAGTCAACCATTCCCTTTCCGATCTTTCTCTTAAGAGTTACTGCCTCTACGTAGCCGCTGAGGTTATCTCTTGCATCCAAGATGTACCTGTATCCATCCGTCGATACAGGCATGACCGCAAGGTCAAGGTGGACCAAGTGCCCCGGCCCCAGTACCCGAGTAGGTCTAAGGGGCTCGAAGACACGTGCGGAGCTCCTTTCCTGACATATCAGACACGTTTGACAGTACGTAGCCACCATTCCTGCCATACCTGGCTAGAAGTAAAGTGGCGCGATTTTTGCAAGAGTCCCTTTGGATGACCGATGCTCTCCGGCTAGCCCATCATGCATTGCCTGAATTATGTCCAACTGCCTAGACCTTCCGCACACGACACGCCTAGGCATCATTCCCTCTTCCCTCTTGAACAGGTGGCCGTTCCTTAAGACATACCTCTCGGCTTCCTCCCTTGCCTTGAGGCTGACTTCCATAGGCTGCTTGTTTCCTATAAGCAACAGACCGATTTCCCTGAAGATGCCATCATACATCTGTACAAGGAGGAATTATTGTCCCTCCTGATTGGTATCTTGCTTTTCCTGAGCCTGACTCACTAGGTACTGCCGCTCCCTTCGCGTCCAAGTCTCTACTAGGCACATCACGGCATCACGGCCCCCTTCAATGGCCATTGCGATCAACTCCTGTTTCGGCCCCATCGTCGCTCCCCACGAATCCTTCTCATCTTTGCATCTGACCGTGGTGACGAGCCCTTCCCTGAGTTCCGCAACTACGGCAGGTGCCCCTTTCTCCAAGGTCTGAATCAACAATTGTCCTGGCATGCAAGCGAGGCTCATCATCTCATTATCTGCAACGAGGGTTCCTCCTTCGTACTCTAGGAAGGCGTCAATTGGCTCCGCATCCTCTACTCCCTCCGGCGTGATGCAAACTCGACTTAGCCCGTCCGCCTTGTTTCGGAGCCCCGCAATTCACTCGACCTTGTAGTCGAACTGCCAGATAAAGCCTATCCGTCTCCCAATGGTCGGGTCTATAGGCTTGTGGTTCTTTAATGCCCCAGCGACATTAGTCGGATCGATTCTCAAGATAAACCGTCTTCCGAATAGGTATGCCTGAAAGGTCTTGAGGCAATGTAGAATGGCTAAAACCTCTTTCTTGAACTGTGAGTATCGCCGCTCTGCCGAATTCAGGGTCCTACTCTCAAATCTGATAGGCCTTTCCTTGCCCTCCTCGCTCCTTTGTATCAGGACTCCTCTTACCGCCAATGGTCCTCCGTCTGTTTCCAGGGTAAAGGGTCGTCCTACTTCGTCATTGAAGCAGGGTGCTGCCAAAGTGACTTGATCGGAAACCAGGATTTCTTTGAGGGTCTGGACTGCTGCTTCCCTATCCGCGGTCCACTCCATAGTCCCTCCTTCCCTAATCATTGCGCGGATAGGCTCAACTATTTTTGCAAAGCCTTTGATAAAGATCCTCCAGAATCCAACCACCCCTAGGAAGGCTCGTGCTTCCGTTGTGGTGCGCAAGGGTGTTGGCCATTGAGAGATCTTATCCGTCTTGGCCGGGTCGGGCTTCCTCCCATAGACCCCACAGCGAAAACCCAGTATGGTCACTTGTGGGACCGCCAGGATGCTCTTTGGTCCACTTGTGGTAATATTATATACCAGGAACCGCTGAAGTAGGTCCTTGATATCCTGTAGGTGATCCCAAACGAACTTTCGTATGCCCGACTGGACCTCTGTCTCATCCTTGTTCTGCGCGCCTTTTATGGGATTGTCGTTTATGTACGGCTCGCATTTTTCCGGGAACATGTCCCTTGCGACCGCAAGCATCCTCCTCTGCGCCTCTGCCACAGCGTTTGGAAAGCCCATAGGGGTCATTTGCATCTGCAGCTGCCCTACCGGGGTGTGCATAGCAGTGTACGGTCTATCCCTAGCATGGAGTGGCAGTTGATTATATCCTGAATATAGATCTATCAAAGAATAAATGCTCCGGTCGGCGTGGGATTCTGTCAGTAGGTCGGCCTATGGAAGCGATCCCGCATCCCGGATTGTTACCGTATTCAGCTTCTGCAAGTCCTGGATCCATCTGAGCGTCTTGTTGGGCTTCCGAAAAACGAATCATTTGTTCGCGTAAGGGGATGCGGTGGGTTCGGCCACGAACGAATCTATCTTGGTTCTAAGCAGTTCAGTGACTTCCGCCGCTATTCCGAACTCGTAAGCAGACCCCTTGTCGTTCCAGCATTCGTGTTCCACCGTGTGGATCCTAATGGGCGAGATTAGCTTTGCATCCAAACGACCTTTCTGGTGGTCATTGAAGGCAAAAGCTAAATGAAACTCTTGGCAGGCTTTCCTTATCAGCTGGGTTTCTTCCACCGTTAGCAACCCATCTACCCCTATTTTCATGGTGTCTGCTACCTCATCAGGTATCCGATGCTCTTCCACTGCTCGCCTCTCCCTTATTATCCGCAAGATTTCTTCCTCCTTTTCCATGGCCTCTTCCCTTGATGTTTCTACTAGGATTGAGACCGGCTTGGCTTTCTTTCCTACCGGTTTGTACTTTCACACACTTCCTTCTGGGACCGTTCTCCTAAAAAATGAACGGTCGGGATTGGCCTTGCCGCCTCCATGACGCAGGGTTGAAGACTGACTACCTTTCCATTTAGACAATAGCCTTTTCGGACCTCATCTTCAAATTTGGCAAGCGCTGCTGGGTCCACCCCCTTACTTTGTGGTATCTGATAGCCTTCACGAGTTGTAACAAATCTGGGATTTCGAGCAGTACCTCCGACGTTTCCTTTCGGCCTTCCTTTGACTTGGGCAAGCTGACCCCATTTCGACTTCTGACTCCTTTTCTGCCACCATAACCCCTAGGACCTCGTCCTCTTGCCTCCTTTTCTTCAGAGGCAGTCCCATCTTGATCCACTCCTTTTTGCTAAAGGCCTCCTCAATCATGATCTCCACTCTTTCCCTCATACCTTCCCTCCGGACGAATGCCCCTTTTCGCACACTATCTTTGAACGTTGGCGACCAGGTTGCCAACTTGCCCTTCGGAGGATCCCCTCCGGTCCCAAGGAGTCGGAGGAGTTCTCCGCGGTTGGTCACTGGGTCCTCTATATCCACCATGCACGTGCCATCATGCAGGTGCATACCTATCATCTCTACATTGGCGCACCATGGTCTCCCGAGAATTATGTCATGGTCCATTTCTTCCATCACGGTCATTCGCTGGAAAGACCAGATTGATTCCCTGACCCCAGCCTTGACTGCGCATTTCGTGACGTACCCTGAAAAGGGAATTTTCTCGTCGGCTCCCTGGATACTCCCCGTCACCTCCTTGTTTACCGTGCAGCCCGTAAGACAATTAATCTGTGTGGTGGGTTCCGATCTGGACTTTTAACTTTCCTACGGACAGTGCATGGAAGCTAAGCTTCGTCCCGGGCGGTGCCCTCATGACTTCACCACCTTCTCGGTCTGGTAGGTTTAAGCGGATGTCCGCAAAGGCTTTTTATAGGTCCTCCAGATCCCCTGGAATTCTCAGGAGGTTGGAGACCCCTTGCGGTGCCTCAGCCTCCTCCGTTTCCTGCTCCTGTGGTTCCGGGGCCTCCTCTACGTCTACGCGTCGGCGCGTTAGTAATTGCCTGAATCCTTTAAGCAATCTCGGGCTTGCTTGCAACATGGTCTGAAAGGATACAAATACCATGGTACCTAGCAGTTTGTTGAGGGTATCGTCAATTTCTAGTATAGTCAGGATCGAAATTTGGTACCTAAATTTCTTCTTTGCCGCCACCGCTTTGTCTATCGGCTCCTCTTCCATTGCTTTTCCGTAGGCCTTCTCCGGCTCCCCGGTCTCGGTTTCACCTTGATTTGCGCTAGTCCCTGCGACCTCTTCCATTACCGTATCTCGAATAAGTTTCTTTTCCGCCCCTGTCCGTCGGGTGGTGATGTTCACCCTATCCTGTCCATTACCCTCTAGGATGAAATTGACTTGTGGTCCGCGTCCCCTCGGTTGGTCCCAAACAATGTCAGCTACCGGCTCGGCTTCTACGACAGATATATCTAGGTTATTCAGGATGATGACGGCACGCCGCATCCCTCCTTGCGAATTCCAGTTTATGCGCTCTCCCTGAGGCCCGAAAATGTCACCTTCAAGGAACCTGCTGCATCTTTGCCTAATAAAATCATGGTCGAGTTTTGGGCAGGTCTGCACGAAATGTTCGATCATTGTACAATACTTGCATTGCTCATTAGTCGGATCCCTCTTGCCATACCCTCGATTCGTTACTGCCGCCGGAACTACGGCCTCTTGGGGCGGGGGGGCGGGTCGGGATACTTGCGCCTGCATTACTAGTAGCGCGTTTTCCACTCTTTCTATCTTGTTATCAACCTCGTGCACTCGTTCATGAAGGCTTTCTATCCCCTTCTTGACCTTATCCCCTGTTTTCCCGGTCAGGTCTATAACCTCTCCTTCCTTAAGCAGGGCTAGCGTCTCGGTCACCACTGTCTTTTCTGCGAGGTCTGTTACTGTGCTGAAGTCCACATCCTAGTCTGTTGGTAGGCCGACAGGATCTTATCTTTGTCAAACTCGGAGAACTGCCTGAGGAAATACTTGCTCATTATTCGGTATGTTACCTCGGGAATCTGTAACGCCACTAGAGTAAATGCCCTCAGGAAGTCATTGTAAGTCGCATAGTTCGTCGTTTGGACCGCTGCCAACTCAACTTCTGTTGCCATTTTCTCTGCCTTCATGTATTTCCTCATCATCTCGTTCCGGGTCTCTTTCCAGGATCCACTAGAGGCGATGATGGCCATAATGTCCCTTCCTAAGCTTAGCGACACATGCTGCATCTTCTCTTCCTCGCTCCATTTCAACAGGGCTGCCAGATTCTCGTAGTCTATCAGGAACTCCGTAATGTTTGCCCCGTCGAAAGTGAGTTTCTTCTTGGCATCTGCAAGATACCCCTGATTCTTATTCAGAGCCCGAGTGAGGGTGGCTACTATCCTCTTGAGACCCCCCTCAGAGCTACCCGCTTCACCGACCACATTGGTCCCTTCTCCTTCCTTGCTATCCCTCTGCTTTTCCCCGGGCTTTGGCGTACCCTCCGGATCAAACCATCCTTACACCCTTTCTCTGAGACTCCAAAGTCCGTCGCAATTTGTTACTTTCGGCGTGGTGGGCATACGGTTAGCACCATTGTCCATAGCAGGTGGGGTCGTAGCCTTTTCTGCCTCTACGGCCGGGGAGTCCGCCTTCTCCTTCCCTTTCTTGCTGGGTGTTCCCCTATGGCTATTATCCTTCCCTCTGTGTCTGACTTCGCCCTGGCTGGCCCTGCGTTCCTCTCGTGACCCTTCTCCCATAAGGTCTCCTTCGTTCCCAACCATCATCTCTTCTATAAGCCTCGCCTTATATTCTGCGGTTCGCTTTTCTATTTCTTCCAGCTTACGGCGTGCGTCCGAGACTTTCGTTTTCTTGGGTGTGGTATCGTCTGAGTTTCGAGGATTTGACCTGCCGTTGTCCCTTTTTTCCTTACTTTCCTGGGGTCCTCTTTTGCTTCCCCCGGCTTTCCCCGAACTTTCCGCTGTCGAAAGGTCATTCCCGTCTTCCCTGGTTCTCCCGGTTTTGTCGATTCTCGGTCCCTTATTGACCCCTCGTTCCGTTCCACACCCCTATCCGTGCCCTGACTCCCTTTGCTTCGCAGACCTTCGGCCTCTTCCTCTGACGCAATTCCTTTGCCTACCCTGCAAATGAAAAAAAAAAATTTGCGAAACGGCCGGTTGTTCAATAGCTCCCCTAGTCCCCGGGCCCTAAGGTCCCCCTCATTTTTGCTTATTTCCATGTTTTCCTGTCTTATATTAGTCGGGGCGCCCCTTCAGACATTTTCCTACAGGGTGTCGTTCTACATTTTTTCTGCCTAAAGGCTCGCTGCCGAGGTTTGGCATTCTGTCACTGTCGTGCCCCGGTTCTTAGGGCGGTGTCCGAGGCTAGCGGCTCTCCTCTCGAGGGTAGCCCTTTTGACTTCCCGACACCTAGATGCCCTAGCGTCCTCAGCGCGGGTAGTCTTCCCAGTTCCTTCCTGCCATGTCCTTAGGTAAGGCGGAACTCCGACCATTACCCCCTTGTCGACGGCTAGTTTCTCATTCCAATTTCCAACCTTTACTTTTTCCCTACCTTCCCCCGGTACTTTTTCTCACGCCGGTCCCTCAGGCCTGTCCTGTTCGTCAGGTTCCTCAAACAGGTTGGCCACCCCCGCAAGATAATTTTCTCCCATTTGTATTTCCCTGATAACTATTGGTTCATACTCCTCAAACGCCAAGCGTGGTAACCCGAATATCAGGATTTCGACGAGTTCGAGTAGTTCATGGGCCTGGTTTCCCCAAAACGGCCCGTGCCTAACTGACACATCGGAAAACATTCCCGTCGTCTGCAGCCGAAAATAGCGGGTCCAGACTAGGGTCGAGTCCACTAGGTCTCTTGCCCTTGAGAGGCTGCCAAAAACCAGGTCCCCCATAAAACGAGGCACTCGGCACCGCAATCCCGTCATCGGGGCCCTAAACTCTCGCCATCCTCCTACCTCCACCCGGGTTCTTAATCCCATGTTCCTCCTCCCTCGCATCTCCTGGCCTATCCGGTCCACTATCCTAGTAGCCCTTTGGATGATCGGAAGCAGCCCATGCCCTAGTGCCAACTCCGTTCCTAGCATGTGCCATCCAATCCCCGGCAGGTATACGGTTCCTGTCACCTTCAGGTCGGTGTACAGGTCGTCCCCCGACCCCCTATTGAACCTCATACCGTTCCACAAACATTCTACCATAATAAATGCCTGGTCCCTTCCCAAGGTCACGGCTCTCCATTCGGTGTCAATCGCGCGGACCATGTAGCTTGTCGGGAGCGATACCTCCCATCCGCCTCCACTTTTCGTGGGTGGCCGTCGCGACATCCGGGCGCGCCTCATCGCCATTTGTTGATTAGCGGTCCCCTGCACAGTTTTAAACAGCAAGCGAGCTTTACTTATTTCATCCATTCTTCGACCATCACCCGGGCAGCTCCCAGGTCCCTAACCCGATATCCTTTCCCTTTTTATTCCTCCCTCTCTTCTTGTCTCTTTTACCGACCCGTCCCTACCTCCATCGGCTCATACAAGCGGTACAGGTCGTCTACGTAAGTCATTCCTCGACTTATTTCTCGTCGAACAACGCCCCATAGAACCTCGTTGCTAACAACCGGAGCTCTCGGCCTGGTGGTAAATACGGCATGCAGGATTCGCAGTACCTCGTACCTCTGCTCACCGCTGAATGGCCCCATTTCTAGGATGGCCCGGTAATATTCCCGGTGGACCATCGCTTCCTCAAACGTCAGGTAGGCGAGGTCGGTCACTGTCCGCTTGACAAGTTCCAGCCCGCCTAGCTGTTCGAGTAAGAAGGGCGGCAACCTCATCCGGACGTTCTCACTAGGCAGGTTGAATCTCCCAGCCATAGCTACCCTAAGGTTTGTTGTTACATCATCGAATTCTGGGTCAGCGAACTCGAACCCCGCTTGCCACACTAGCTGCTATGGCCCCTCAAATAGGCTTATTGGATCTTCTCCCGATGCTAACAGGACTCCGAACGCGCGCCATCCATCTTCCGACATATACAACCGCGCAGATGTCCCCGTGGGTCCGGGCTCCACTCGCCGTTTTCATCCGCGCGCCATTCAACCCTTGTCACCAGGTAAACCGTGTTTTCCACGAGTTCGACCCCGACCCAGTCCACCATCGGGTACCAGCCCTCGCTCGTGGAAGGCAGGCTGATTTCTACTCCGCCAGTTACTTCCCTTGGCGGCTCAATGCCCAGCGGCCGGTCCTCAAGGAACGTCCTCCTTCGTGCCATCACGCGCCTTTCTTCGGTCTTTTACTCCGCAATCCGCAATGAACCCAACAATGGCCAAACATTCCACCCCGGTATCTCATTGATTTTCCATACTCGGCTGGCCCTGCGGTTTTTGCTGCCCCTAGTCAAACCATAGTACTTCGAATAGTTTAAACACGTCATCTACATAGCAAGGTGTGACGGCTATCTCGCGGCGAATTATAGCTTCCTTAATTTCCGGGGCCACCTCTAGCCGGTCGTTCCTGTCTAAGTCCAAAATGATGAGGACCTCCCAGGCTCTGTCGCCGTGGAAGGGCCCAAATTTCAGCGATGTTTTATAGAACTCTTCCGTCAGCCATGCGCAATTTACATGTATCCGCTTCATAGTGCTGGCCACTTCCGTGACGTGATCAAAACCCCCAAACCAGTCTGCCACGAACTCGGGTACCCAAGTCTTGGTTCGTAGACAGGGGGGCCTAAACTCCCTCCATCCCCCTATCACGACCCTGCTGCTGACCACATCCCATCCTTTGTTGGCAAGCTTCTCACCTGCCTGTCGAGCCCTTGGCTCAGCATCCCCTAGAAGCCACATCGGACTTTGTCCTGCGGCGAGCATGGTGCAGAATAAGTGCCAACCGTGCTCAGAGAGGATGACGGTCCCGACCGATTCCACCCTACCTTCCACAATCTCCTCCATCCTTCCTCTTCCCTTAGCGGGTTCCAGACGCGTTCTATCCATAGGTATGACAATTCTGGTACAATTTCAAGTCCTACCCAGTCACACTTGGTCCCTCTCCATTCTCTATCCGTTGGTATGGACATTTCTATTCCCCCTTTGACTTGTCTTGGCTCCCATCCTTCGAACGTGCAGTCCCTTAGATGGAGATCTCGGGCCATTGTTCCATAGCTGCACATAGCCGACCACCCATTTCCCCCGGGTAAGTCCCCCCCTCAGAAGTCCCACTCCTCTACCTCGTCATCGTCCCCGTCATCACTGAAATCATCCTCCTCGTCAAAGTATAAGTCCTTCAGTCCTTTTAGGAAGGTCCCTCCTACAGCCACATTCCGATAAATTATCCGCCAGTGCACTGGGCTAGGGACAAAGACGTCATCCGTGCTGAGGAGGTTCAATATATGCGCTAATTCCTCCGCCGAGTTCCCTCCGAACGGCCCCATTTCTACCGACAGTCTAAAGAAGTCCTGCAGGGCGCACTGGTACAACCTCAAGTTCGTCATTGACTGACATATTTGTTCTAACATGCCCCTGGTCCCAAAGACCGCATCCACCAGAAATGGGGGTAGCACGCATCTCATTGCCCTAAAAGGCCGTCTCACATTTCCTCTATCCCCGAGCTCCACTCGCACCTCCACTTTGTCCATTTCCATTTCCGCCCGCTGACACGCTGCCCATACCACTTCTCGTTCCGCTTGTCTAAACAACGAGTCCGACGCCGTCCCCAGTACTAATTCTGTTACCATTGCATTTTCCCTTTCCTGGGACAAGTAGACCCACCCCCGGGCTTCTACCGTTCCCCGAAATTCCAAGTCCATCAAGCTCGGCGACAGTCTTGTCAAGCTGACCTTAGTCCATATCCTCTCTATCAAGAGGAACGCGTCCTTTTCTTCCAGAATCACAAATTGATACTCTGGTTGCAGGTCCGTCCACGTTCCTTCTTCCGGGAGGACGACGGATACCCCGCCCCTTACATCTATCGGCATTTTCGGACCACTAGAATAGACTGGAGACGACAACCACCGCACCATCTCGTTTTTTCCGGTCCCGGTTCCTATTTTCAGGAGAGAGCACCACACGCCCGCTGTGGTCAGGCTAGCACCCCCTCTTAATTCTAGATGAGCATTATTTCAGACCCCTCATCTGGGTCTCCGTAATTTTCCCTGTCCATTTCCCGAGCACCATTGCCCCCATTGTACTCCCAATTGGTCATCACTAGCCGGTCTTTCTTTTCTTGGTTCCATTTCCTTTCGCCTCCTATCCTGGCTCCTTTCCATCTTCTCTCACTCGTTGGGACTTAGAGGGGGGTACAAAAGAAAAAAATCCAGGCAATCCTCGCACGCAGGCCGGTCATCTCCTCACCGGCCTTTTCCCAAAGTGGTCTCTCCACTGTTACTATCGGTCGAGTTTTATCCCGTACCTCAAGCACAGCTCAACCATCGCGAGCGCGGTACCCAGACTCCAGTGGGGGGACACCCTCACCTTCTTGCCCAGAATAACCCATCCCGTCTTGCCGCTCTTGTACACCCCCGTTGGCACCGGGAATTACCCCGCGTACTCGGTGGGGACAGAAATCGGCCGTCCGGGCATTCACATCCATCGGTTCGATAAGAATCAGCCTTTCCCAAGCCGTATTGCGAGAGGCTACTAATCGCCTCAGGAGCTCCCTCCGTGCCCCACATGAAGTGGTCCCCCTGCCGTCTGCCGACAAGCAGCCGTGCCGTCTGAGAGACGTTTCACACCTCGCCTGGGTAAGGTCACGAGCAATGCTCGGCCCGCCCAGGAGGGAATGCTACTAATCAACCGACGGGACCAACTCTTGCCTGACAGTCCGGTGGCCCGACCCCCGCATATGAAAGCCCGACGACCTACCCGAAGAAACCACGTTTCGCAACCTGCACCGGCCGGTGCAGACCCACTCTTTCCTTCCGAAATGGCAGGACGCTCAATTTCCCTTTCAAGCAATCACAAGTCCCAAGTTGGACACACATAATACAAGTGCCTTTCCCTTGGTGCATCCAATGTTTCCTACCCATTTCTCACCACTTTTCTCTTAGGACTGTGTGTGCCACTCCCCTTACTTCCATACACAGTAGTTGGTTCCTTCTCGTGAGCATCTTCAAGGGTGAGCTAGTTTTCCTCGGAGTCTAGCAACTCCCTTCATTCCCTTCATCTTCCTTTGTCTGTCCGTTCATAGGGCGGGATTGTTCCTTCTCGATTACCATTTTGTTCATATGAGGTTCCTTCAAGAATTTCAAGTGCAAGTGCAAGGAGCCCGCTGGGCTCTGAAGAAGAGAGAAGAAGGCACCCATGTCGGTCGGATCGCTCCGCCGCGGGATTTTCATCGGAACCCGGCCTAGGCCGAGCACGAACCGCCTGCCAGGTAACCAAAGCCCTTCTTTCACACGAAGAGGAAGGGTCGACCTGCGGCTTGCCCAAGGCTTCCCCAGACTGACGAACATCAGCCTGAAAGAAGGAGGACTAAAGTCACCTCCCGAGGAGGCGGCTAATCAAGTGCGCAACATGCATGTTATTCCTCCACGTCTGGCCTTGCCATGCGCCCATCCGCCCTCAATCTGATTCTCTCAAGGGAATAAAGCATACACAAGTCCTCGTTCGTTATCGTAATGTTCTGTTCGCGTTCATGCGTCGCCCCCCCCCCCCTCGAGATACTATTGGTCAGTTTAACCCATACCCGACACCTCCATCATTTTTATAGCAGCCGTACCCTGAAGGACTTTTGAGCCTGGGTCGACCCCATCGCGGGTCCCATTTGGCTCGACCCGCCCACGCTCAAGCTCAGGGTGCGGGTCGTTCGTCCCAGGGACACCCCCACCTAGTGCTATGAGATGGATGGGGATGGGCCTTTTGCGAGAGGGCTGTACATTGGGGGATGTAGCTCCGCTCTCGCGTTAGATGGTAGCTCTTTGGTCACTCGTGGCGTTTTCTCGATTCATGTAAGTGTGGCCAGGCAATTGCTCCTTCCAGTACACAAGCAGTCCAGGGAATTCGTTGAGGATTCGTCTTCTTTCGTGTGTAGGCCAAGCGTCATTCATTGGGCCACACACCTTTTCACTAAGCATGGCAATCTCTATGGCGTGATCGGGGTGTGGCCGCGCCGTCCATGCCCTTAGCCCCTATATTTTTTTTGCTTGACAATCATCCTACCCGCGTATCCGTTGCCGCCCTTAGTCTTTTCGGGCTTTCGTATTGCACACAAAGGAGCCATGTCATCCATTCATCATGCAAAGTTGAACTCCGTCGTCAGTCCTTTATCCAAGCATTCAACCATCAAGCCCCACCCACATTCATAGTTTACGCTAGGCCCATGCCCTTTCCTTATCGGGTTTCCCATTCTTGCCCGCGTTCCGCGGGTCCAGTCCCGCTCAATCCATCCTAAGCTACTCACCTGCGCAAGACCACACAAGCAAAGACCAAGAACAATCCCCATTGGGGGTCAACACATCGCCTCTCCCGCAAGCCTAAGTTCCTTTCTCTTTCAATGGCCCTTTTGGTTTTCTTTTCCTCCCTTCAAGCAAGCCATGCCTTCTCCTTTGTCATGCAGTCTGGGAGAATGGTTGAGTCAAACTGACCTGGTCTCAAACCTTCACTCTTTCAATTCTTTAAAAAGATCCCTCCTTTCCAAGTTTCGCAAGGATCCCGTTCCTTTCCTTCTTGGTGGCACAAGGGACCGACAGCCCCCCCCCTTTCCCTCTTTCTCGACCAAGTGAGGACCGAGTTCGTTTACCATTCGTTCCCTGGCAATGTAACAAGTGAGGGGATAGATTAGTCTCGCGCCAAGAAGAGATAAGAAGAGGGAAAAAGGGGTGAAAGCCAGGGATTTAGAAGGAAAGAGAGAGGGAGAGAGAGAAAGAGAGAGAGAGAGAGAAGATGAAAGAGAATGAAGGAGAGAGAGAGAGAGAGAGAGAGAGAGAGAGAGAGAGAGAGAGAGAGAAAGAGTAAAGTTTCCTATCCTAATCAACCTTACCCCTTCCCCCATCAACCTTGGAGCCCTCCTTCTCCCATGACCCTTGGGTGGTGGAAGGAGATGGTGGAGAAGGAGGGTGCAAGATGGTTGACTATGGTGGATGGGCGTAGGTGAAGGTGGAGGAAGAAGGTGCAAGGTGGTTGGCTATGGTGGATGGGTGTAGGAGATGGCGGAGGA